TTTACAGAGAGGAAGGGAGAGGGAGAGGGATAGAGAGAGAAACATTGATCAGCTGCCCCCTGCACACTCCCCACTGGGGATGTGCCCCCAACCAAGGTACATGCCCTTGACCGGAATCGAACCTGGGACCTTTGAGTCCGCAGGCCGACGCTGTATCCGCTGAGCCAAACCGGTCAGGGCCACCTGGTATTCTTTATCAAAATTAGCTGTTCATCGTCTCCATAGCTTATATCCCAGCCTTCAATCCCTTTTTGCTTACCTGTGTATCGCTGGCCTCCACCGCTGACACGTGAGCACCGTGAGGGCGTGTGTGGGTGTGGAATTCACCGTATTCCCAGACTTTAGCATGGTGCCTGGCACATAGGAGATGCTCCATTTGTAACTGATGAAAGAAGGAAGGAAGGAAGGAAGGAAGGAAGGAAGGAAGGAAGATGCATTGCCAAATCCCCCACACTAGTTAAGTAGGTGATAATGTTCACTAACTCCACAACCACATGTGTGTTTTTTTAAGAAAATAAAAAATTAAACAAGCTATTTTATTCTTTTCTTGTCTTGTTCAATTATAGAAATACACAAAGAAACATAACAGTAGCCCCAAATAATCTGAACATTTAAACACAATTCTATCTACTCCTTTGTAATCTGGCTGTTTATTTTTCATATAGTGGTATTCTGGGCATTTATTTGCTCATGCCCATTAAATATTTTTTCATAGCATGATATTTCACTGCTAAAAACAGTCCGTTCTAGGCCTGGTGTTGCTCAGTGGTTGAGGGTCAATCTATGAACCAGGAAGTCACAGTTTGATTCCCAGTTAGGACACATGCCCGGGTTGTGGGTTTGATCCCCAGTGGGAAGCGCGCAGGAGGCAGCCAATCAATGGTTCTCTGTCATCATTGATGTTTCTATCTCTGTCTTTCTCTTCCTTCCTCTCTGAAATCAATAAAAAATACACTTTTTAAAAAGGATCCATTCTATACAGGTACCCTAAATTCCTTCCCTAATTCACTTTTGAAGACGTTTAGCTCAATTTTTCAGTTTTATAAACACTGAAGTGAATTTTCTTTTAGCTCAGTGTTTTTCATCTTGGAGATCAATGGACCCTCGAGGGCTTTCATAAATTAGCTTTAGGGGAAGTGGGGCTCATGAATCCCTGAAATTGAGGGCAAGATTTTTGCATATGTACATTTTAGAGGAGAGAAGGACCATCGCATTCATTCAATTGCCAAAGGGGTCTGTAAACCAGTTAAGGTCATTTGGCTGTTTAGAAAGTCTGTCTGAAGAAAGACTAAACTCTTAGGCCTGGCCACTGAGGCTGAATCAATAATAATGGGCACCCCAAACATGTCGTTGAACCATCATCAGTCCCTAAAGCTGTCTGCCAGGAGGCTAGGGGGAAGGGCGCTCCAGGCAGACTCAAGGTGGGGTGAAGGGCCCAGGATGTAGGGGGGCTGAGCCAAAGGCATGATCAACCACCTAGGGGCCAGTGTCCCTCTCCCTTAGATCTTCCTACTCACTCTTGGTCACCCCTTTGCCATCCTTAAACTCAAACATTGGTTGCTTGCAGAACTTCTCTTTTCTCGCCTGTTTGGGCGTCAACCTATGAGGTCACGCAGAGCTGGGGCTGGCGTGGTCCAGGGCAGCCTCACGCACTACTGGCTGGTTCTGGTCTCTTTCTTTTCTTTCCTCTCTCTCCCTTTTCCCAGCTACCATCAAGCCACCTGATGTGACCTGTATCCCCGCGGTGAGATCCATCCAGATGATAGTCCATCCCACCTCCACGCCCGTCCAGGCCGAGGATGGCCACCGGCTGACCCTGGAGGACATCTTCCATGACCTGTTCTACCGCTTAGACCTCCACATCAACCAAACCTACCAAATGGTAAATAAACGGCAACTACATATGCCACCCTGGTCCTTCCCTGCCTGGGACACCCACCTCCCTCTCAGTTAGATCTGCATTGCTTTAAGTAGGAAGGAGATGTGTTACGTAAATTAGCATTTCCCAACACATGTCCCCAGCCTCTCCCAAGTGGAGTCACGTACACAAGAGCACGCTAAAGTCTCTGACAAGTCCTGCACACCCAAGACCCCAGTTCCAATTTGTGTTTGACTCAACTTCTCCCAAATGTATTTGACCTTTTATATTGTACAATATTGGTTTTCTTAATTTTTTGCCTAATGTCTTCTAACATTCTGGAGAACAGCCTCTATTAAATCCTCAGGTGTCCACTTCAGGAAATTTCTTCTGGCTGGTTCTCCACTATTTGTGGGAACTGGATACAGGCAGTGTCTTAAGATCTGTAATAATGAGAGATGGAAGGCAAGGGCATGAATTGTCAAACAATATACAAGTGATTTCCTTTTGTATTCAGAAAATATGTGGTATTTCCCCCCAGTATGTGCCACTAACTCATAATTCCATTGACTATTTCTGCACTCAAGGTAGTGGTGGTGATGGTGATGGTCATGATAGTGGTGCTGGTGGTGCTGGTGGTGGTGGTTGTTACAGTAGTGATGATGGTGGTAGTGGTAGCAGTGATGGTGATGATGGTGGTGGTGGTGGTGATAATAGTGGTGGTAGCAGTGATGGTGGTGGTGGTTATAGTAGTGATGATGGTGGTAGTGGTAGCAGTGATGGTGATGATGCTGGTGGTGGTGGTGGTCATGGTAGTGGTGGTAGCAGTGATGGTGGTGGTGGTGGTGGTGGTGGATGTTATAGTGGTGATGGTGGTGCTGATGGTGGTGGTTGTTACAGTAGTGATGATGGTGGTAGTGGTAGCAGTGATGGTGATGATGGTGCTGGTAGTGGTGATGGTAGTGGTGGTAACAGCAGCTAGTATGTACTGAGTGCTTACTATGTACTAGGCACTCTTCTAAGTAAGAGTACGTGGGGCTTGGTGACTGACTAGATTTGGGGATAGAGGCAGGGGGATGGGGACGGAGCCCTGCAGACTGACCCCCCATTTCTGGTTTGGGAGCTGGTGGTGCCCTTGCACTGAGTGCAGTCATCCAGGCAGAGGTGTGAGAGGTGTAGGCGACCTGGGCTCTGCGGGGAGGTCGGGGTATAAGAGGAGTCACTCTGGGTTCTCTGCCAATTTCAGCACCTTGGAGGCAAGCAGAGAGAATACGAGTTCATTGGCCTGACCCCTGACACGGAGTTCCTTGGGACCATCACAATTTTTGTTCCAACCTACTCCAAAGAGAGTGCCCCCTATACGTGCCGCGTGAGGACACTGCCAGGTAAGTGTGGCTGAAGCGGAGGGAGGTGGGACGCCTGAGTTCCAGGCTTGGCTGTGCGCTTTCCTCCCTGTAGCCAAAGCGAGGCTGGGCAGTGCTCTCAGAAACTGCGAAGGGTGATTATTAAAGTCAATCTTTGCTTATCCACAAACACAGTAGCTGATGGGTAATCACAGCACATGTTTAATCTCCACCCTCCAGCCTGGGTCCGGATTTCCTCTCTCTGGCCTGCTTAGGGTGCACCCCGGCAAAGCAACTGCACCTTAATATTAACCCAGGTGACAGACACTGGGAGATTATCTGCAGAGGGGAGCAGAGGAGATAAAAAGATCCCTCAATATCTCCCAGGGTCGATTAATCACAAGAGCAATGAGAGCGAGCGTCTGTGCGGTGCTAACAGGGACCAGGCACGACTGAGCGCACCCCTGTCAGCACCCTCATTTGACAGATGAGGAGGCAGGGTCCGAGTGGTTCGGCCACTTGCCCGAGATCACACAGGTGGTGAGGGATAGAACCGGGCCTCATGCTGGAGGCCACGCCCTGCCCGTTGTGCTGCTGCAGAAATAGCTTTGAGTCACTGGCTCCGTGGGCTGGTCCCGCGCTCCCTTCCTCTGGCACCTTGGAACTCCACTCTCTTCATGAGCGGGGTGACGTTTTTTATTGGTGTTGACTTTCACAGACAGATGGGAATGTAACGCTCAGAGCAGCGAGTTTGGAGGGTGGAAGGGACAGCAGTGGGTTGGATTTGGAGAGCCGGACTCCACCTTAGTCCTCTGGTTTACATGAGTGATGTCAGCCGGTGAGTTCTGTCCTAATGAGCAGAGGAGAGGCGGCTGCAGGCGGGCCCTCGGGTATAACTGCAGCCGGGATCGGTGTTAGTCCTCCGTTTTGTTCCGAAACTCAACTCATCATTTACCCCAAGAGCCCACGGGAGACGGCTTTCTCCCCCGCAGTGCACTCGTGTCGGGGGAAGCCTGCCCGGTGGGACAGCTAGCTCTGGCCACGTGCCCCAGATAGGCCCGCCCTGGGGACAGGGCCACTCAGGAGACCAGAATAGAATTTGGCAAGAGGGAAACTAGAGAAAGGAAACCAGTGTTACAGGCACTAAGCTGGGAGCGTATAGATGGCCGGTGACCCTCTCCCCCGGCCCAACCTAGACAAATCTCACCTATTCCTGGCCCGGCCCGCCCCCACCCTGCTTTTTGACAACCTGCGGACCACCCCTCCCGCATCCTTCCATTGGCTTGTTCTTTCTTAATCCAGCTCAGTGGTTCTCAACCTTCCTAAGGCCGAGACCCTTTCATACAGCTCCTCATGTTGTGGTGACCCCCAATTTCATCGTTACAAACTGAACATAATTAAAGCATAGTGATTCATCACAAAAACAATACGTCATTATATATGTGTTTTCCGATGGTCTTAGGCGATCCCTGTGAAAGGGTCGTTTGACCCCCAAAGGGATCACGACCCACAGGTTGAGAACCGCTGATTCTAGCTCATGATGTGATGCTGCTTTTATATAAATCACACTTCTTGTTGGCTATTTCCTGCTGGCATACAGAAGGCACTTTATTCTCAAAAATAAAGTATGTTAATAACAATTCCTACCATTTATGAAATGCCTACTCTATTGCCAAGCACTGTGTTAAATGCTTTACGTACATGATCCCATTTGGTTTATATAACAATCCTGCAAGATGGGTAGCCTCATCCCCATTTCACAGAGGAGGGGCTCTGGCTCAGAGAGGTTAAGCAACTTGAAGGTGACCACACAGCTGGTCAGCAAGCTTCATTCGGTTCATCTGATCCTGAAGCCTGAGCTCTAACCACCCCTTTGCTATTTTGTTTACAGCTCATCGCCCCCACTGCCCTCTTACTCCCCTTCCTGCCGTTTCAGAGTGATAAGCCCTGCCCTTGACCCTGTCTCCTGGAGCCTGTCTTATCCCCAGAGCCTAGAATCTCCACTGCATCTACCTCTCAGGATATCTGGGATGGTCACAGAGCAACATCCTAGTATCTTGATGCTGGAAAGGACTCTAGGGGTCACCTCACTCCATGTCTAACTTTTACAGATGAGTAAACTGAGGCATCCTGATGTTGGGTCTATGAGGATGAGCTTTGGAGTTACGCATGTCCATTCTGACTTTCCCACTGAATTGCTGGGTGACCTTGGTCAGGTCGCTTACCCTCTCTGAGATTCAGCTTCATTCGACGTAAGCAGGGCGTGTCCCTGGCTCTCTGTGTCTGATGGGGTGACATAAGTAGAGCACCCACACAGGGCAAGGCACATCTTAAGAATTCAGTAATCACTGCTGCTGTCAGTCATACGTGGTAGAGCAGAGCGGGTTGTGCAACAGAGAGGAGGATCAGGGGCCGAGCCAGACATCTAACCCCCCACTCGCGAGCGCTGCTTCTATTATTTCTTCCTGTCTCCTCGTGGGTGAAATGGCGCATGGAAAGTTCCGTGTCCCTGTCCTGTCCTGGCACAAGGACAGTGGTTTTCCATGAGGTCTGTCACGTACAGACAGTCGGGTCGTACCTTCTCCCTGGAGCATGCTGGGAGTGTCGTGTGGCAGGGGCAGGGTATGGCCGGAGCTCAGGGCCGGGGGAGGAGCGAGGGGCGAGATGTCGAGGCTCCGGTCCACAGCGTTCACGGTGATTGCCAAGGTCGTGGGCAGCTGGTGCACAGCAACTCCAGCTGAAGCCACCGGGCGGGGAACAGGAGGGTGCTTTGGAGAGTCAAGACCCCTGGATAATACCAATCCCCAGTTTTAAACAAAAAGCTCCAATGGCTTCTTCCTCCCCAGCCCCTCACCAGTCCCCCCTGGGTTGGTGACAGGAAGTGTGACATGCCTGGCTGTGCCCATCCCAGAGCCGGGACCACCGGGAGAGGGAGCACACCAAAGCCCTCAGGCATCTGTTTCCTTCCCTTTTAGAAAGGGCAGTGCCTCCCGCTGCCTCCTGAGCAAAGTGGTCCCCGATACCCAGGCCTTTGCTTGGAAGGGAGCGCAGAGGACAGCCCCTCCTCTTGTCACTCCCCGACCCCCACACCCCTGCCAGGGAGGCAGGCTGTCCTCAGAGCAGGGAGAGAGGGGGCGCTTCAGAGGGCGCCCCCCCCCCCCCC